AACCGACTAAGCCACTCAGGCGCCCCAGATTTGATGATTCTTGACCAGTGAGCCGCCTAACAAAAACTGGATACTTTTAAGTTGATTTACCAAAAAAGTCTTTCATTTCTTTTACACCTTCAGCTCAGGTGGTCTTTATTGAACACTGGTCCGTGGCCACTGTTGTGAGCATCTGGGAACACAAGGACTGATAAACAGTCATTGGTCCCCAGGGCTGGACTTAGTAGGGTCGATATGTCTGTTAATAAGTAATTACAGGGAATGCAATGCCTCAAAGAAAGAAGTAAATAAGACTATAGGTGGGTGGGGGGTGGGCAAAATGCATGAAGGGGAGTGAGAGATACAAGCTTCCACTTAGGGAATGAATGAGTCACAGGGATGAAAGGCACAGCACAGGGAATACAGTCAGTGGCATTGTAATTGCGCTGCATGGTGACAGCAGCTAACAGCATAGTGTATAGACTTGTCCAGTCACCATGCTGTACAGCTGAAACTAATATAACATTGCATGCCAACTATACCACAATTTAAAAAACTTTTAAGGGATAATTTTTTTTAAAGACCATAAGTAATCAGGGAAGACTTCCTAGGAAAGGGGTATTTTGAGGCAGAACTTGAAAAACAGCTATTAGGAGGAAGAGAGAGAGAGGCTTCCAAAGGAGGCTGGTACATGACCGGTAAAGGTAGAGCAGAAGCCCCAGGAGCGTGCGCTCTTGAAGCTGTGACCGTGTTGTGGAGCAGATCCCTTCTGGTAAAGGTGCACAGCTCAGGGTCAGGTGGACCAGGGAAAGTGTTTGTAATGTCTAATGTTGTATCAGGGTTAGGGTTTTTACAGGAGGTTCAAAAAAACCAATAACTTTGGGCACCTGGGTGGCCCAGTCGGTGAGGAGTCTGACTTTGGCTCAGGTCGTGAACTTGGAATTCGTGAGTTCGAGCCCCATGTCTGGCCCTGTGCTGACAGCTCAGAGCCTGGAGCCTGCTTCAGATTCTGTGTCTCCCTCTCTCTCTGCCCCTCCCCCACTTGCACTCTCTCTATGTATTTCAAAAAAATTATATTAAAAAAAATGTTTAAACAAAAAACTCCACAAAGAACAGGCAGCCTTTGACACCAGATGCAAAGTAAACTAACTCTGGGATAGTTCCTTGTATGGAGCTCCAGGGGTAGGCTTCGTTGATCCTGAGGAAGAAAGAAGAAAATTAGTGTATGTGTTTAGCCCAGCAAGAATGCTGGTTTGGGTTAATTTTCATAGCCATGAACACCCTCTTTCCTCTTTCCCGATTGTCCTAGTACTTGGGTTTTCCCTCAAACAGCAACGTAAGAACCTAAGCCGCTGGGTTCTCCTTGGAAAAATGACCCTGAGCTCTCTTGTCTTTGTAGGTCCTCTCAGAAATCTAACGGGGAAAAGTTATATTTAGAGCTGACAGCAGAGGCAGGGCTGATTGGAGGGGGTAGGGCTCAGTGAGCAGCAGTGAGGGAAGCAGAGGAGCGCCATGGCCATGCTGAGTCCAAAGCAGCCAGCTGCTGGCCACTCCACAGATGCTTGTCGAGTGAGGAGCCAGGCCCACTATTGCCAGACCTGATTTTACAACAATAGCCATAAATTCTAATGACTTGACAATTAATTCAAAACTGTTGAGAAGAAACCAGAAGGGCTGTGCCAGATATCACCCCCAACACAATGCATCCTGGGCTGCAGGTGGCTAGCTGCCTCCTCTGCTCAAAGGGAGATGCTCATTCCATTCATTCATCTGTGTCCCCTGTTTCATCTTTCCAGCAAATTAGACAACTGCAAGGCACAAAGCCAAGACTGTGTGAACTTACGCCTTCCCAGAATTCCCTTCACGTTGTACTTTAACACAGGTTAATTTTAATTGAAGGTTAGTATAAGAAGAAACCACATGAAATCCGTCTATGTTTGAAACTGTGTCTGCGGAAGCTGGCGATCACATTGGGTTACACCACGTACGAAGTCCCATGCACCTAAATACTTTTAGCATCTGTTGCTAAGAACACATTGTCTCTCTTGTGAAACTGGAATGCTTCCTACTTTCTGACAGGACAGTTTCATTTTTGCTCTGGCTGCCAGGAAGCTCAGGGCTAAGTGGCAGCGTCTGCCCCAGCAGATATATGAGTCTCCATTTGCATCCTCGGGCTTTCCCTGGTTCCAGTCACTGTGCTTCCCCCTTTTTCCCCTCATCCTGCTCTTAAGCACTTAATAATACAAATCATTCAGGGATGCCTGAGTGGCTTAGTCAGTTCAGCAATCAACTTCAGCTCAGGTCATGATCTCGCGGCTCCTGAGTTTGAGCCCCATATAGGGCTCTGTGCTCACATCTCAGAACCTGAAACCTGCTTCAGATTCTGTGTCCCTCTCTCACTCTGCCTCTTCTCTATTCTTGCTCTGGCACTCTCTCCCTCTCTGTCTCACTCAAGAATAAATAAACACTAAAAAATAATGCAAATAATTCAAGAGTGTGTGTTAACTCCATCTCAGTGTACCAGGAACCCTGCACTTCAAGGTAAAAGATCATTTGGAGAAATTTCTCTGTTTATTACTTAGAATTAAGTGGGCTCCAGAGACAGTTCCAGTGGTTTGCTCCAGACCTCCTGGCCCTGAGTTGGTGGTAGGCACCTGTGCTTCATCTCCAGAGAGCCTTCTATAGTGAGGAGTGCCTCTCAGTGGTTAGCAGCTCAGGGAATGGTCCGTGATGAGGACAAAAAGCGTAAGATTGATGTAAAACATGATGCTACTGGCACCGTGTTTCCAGTCTGTCTGTCTCTTAAGTATATGATATGAGGTTCACATTTGCCCACTTAAAAATAATTCTTGATCGCCTATGCTATTCTTATTGCAGATACACTGGTGAGGAAGATCAAAGTTTCTTCTTGGAGCTCACATTTCAGAGAGAGGAGATAAGAGGCACCTAAATCAGATCAGATCGTGGTAATTGGCATGAAGAAGGCAGGATAATGGGGTAGGCACTGAGCCGAGAGAGGAGCTGGAACCCCACGCTTTAGGTTGGGAAGAGGCTTGATGAGGAGGTGCCATTTGAGCTGAGAGCAGAGTAAGTGGAGACTTGGGCAGAAATCAGTCTTGGCAGAGGAAACAGTAGAGGAAAAGGAAGTCCTGGAGCAGACAGGAAATTGGCGTCCTCCAAGGATGGAGAGAAGGTCAGGAGTGTAAACGGAGTGAGGGAGGGGAAGGGAGGCGGGCAGATGAGGCGGGCAGATGAGGCAAGGACAGGATCAGTGGTTCTAATTTTGGCTGCACGTGAGTGTGATGTGAAGAACTTTAAGAATGTTCCCAGTGCCGAAGCCCCACCTCCAGAGACTGTGATTTAATTGGTCTGGGGTGGGGCCTGGATGTTGGTAACTTATAAAAGCTCCGCAGAAAATTGCATGGTGCAGCCTGGGTTGAGAACATCATCAGTCCTGATCATGCAGAGTCTCATAGACTCTGGTGAGGAGTTTGGATTTTAGTTGAATGACAGTGGGAAGCCATTAGGTGGTCTGCGCTAGGGGAGTAACATTTGGCTTACGTCCTTAAAAGGCTCACTTTGGCTGCAGTGTGGGGAGTGGAGGTTGGAAGTCGTTTAGGTGGTTCCGTGGAGAAATCATGGTAGTTTGAACTGTGGTGGTATCTGCGGAGATGGTAAGAAGAACTCACTTTGGGGATAGGTTTTGGCATTTGCACTCACAAGATGGGTTGGGTTCCGGATGTGAGGCAAAAAGAAATGAAGCTTGCCTGCGAGTTAACCTAAGTAATTGAGTGATGCCATTCCAGAGATGGGTAGGAATGATGTGAGAGGAGGGAAAATAATTGTGTTCATTGGTTGGTATGAAAGCCTCAGGGTGTCTTCTCTCTAGATTGAGGTAACTTGGAGATCCAGGCAGTCAAATAAGATTGGCCAAAATATTCTGATAAAGCCTGTTTCTTATAGTACTGAGGGTTTTTTGTTTTTTTTTTTAAAGTCTTGCAAAGGTAAACACCAAAAGCAATGGACTGTTTTAGTGCGTGGAGCCTATGCTGAGGAGGGGGATAGAGGATGGAGAAGAGACACGGAAGATGTTGAACCCCTTTCATGCAGGAAATCAGACCGGGGTGGGGGAAGAATGTACTCTGCGAGGTTGCTTAGAGCGAACACCTGTCTTGCTACAAGAAAAGAATCCAAAATAGCAGGTTATTTGTGTTTGACTTTAAGGGGAGTTTTTCCCCCCACAAAATTACCTTCTAAAATATTTGTAACTTACATTAAATTATAATTAATTTTTCTTCCCAAACCAGGCCCTAGATGTCGAGCAAGTGAAAGTAACCCAGATTTTTAAGTCAGAATCAAATTATTGGAATGGTTTACAAGACCTTTACGTGGAGAACAAAATGAACTTCATTAGAACAGTTTACTTTTCCCCTCATGGAAAAGTGAGTTAAATTGCAGTGGTAGAACCGTTGAGTGGTCATATCAGAAAAAAAAGTCCTGATAATAAGCTCATTGGAGGCAAGCACTGTTCTCTTACATTTTTTACTTTTTAAAATGCCTGGTGTCCCTGTTCACTCTGGGCCTTTTTGTTTTGTTCATTTAGTAAAGTTATGAGATCTTAGCTGAAACTCTTTCTGTTGTCTGCTTGTCTGAATGGCTGAGGAGGAAGGTTGACCAGAAGTCTTCTGAAGTCCCAACAGCCCTTTGTGGGACCCTTTTTCATTCTTACCAAGGAATTTGAGAAATAGCTGTTTTCTAGGGAAAGACGAGAGCATTTAGCATGGCATGTCTATCTAGAAAATGGCCAAGATCTGAAACTCCTAAGTAAAGGCTTTACGTTGGCTCTAAGCCTCAGAGGCAGTGCCAGCAGCCTGTGAGTTGAGGCCACATAGCAGGAAAGTTGGAAATACGAAGCACCATTGCCATTCCATTTTACCTGACTGGGTCCCTCACGGTAAGTGAAACAGAGCATCCATTACCCACCTACCTGCTGAACTCCTCGCATCCACATTTGCTCACAGATAATTGCAGTGACCTGAACTCGGAGCTACAGAGGGTGCTGACGGGGCTGGAGAATGTGGTCTGCTGCAGGAAGAAGAGCAGCTGCGGCCTCTCTGTGGCCGAAGTGGACAGGCACATCGAGCAGCTCACCACGGCCAGCGAGCACTGTGACTTGGCTATCAAGGTACACCATCCCGACCCTCTGGCTGGCTCTTTGAGAGTATCCGAGGGAAATGGTCCCATCTCTCTCTCTTTTGAAGTGTGGTTTTCTCAAATATGTGTTAGGAATGAGCATTTCTAAGAAAACCGTACTGTACATTGGAGTAGGAAGAAGTAGGAGTCCTCTAAATTTTTGTTGGGCTGAGTCACACTGGGAAAAAAAAAAAAGGCATGGGGCACCTAGGTGGCTCAGTCGGTTAATTGTCCAGCTTCGGCTCAGATCATGATCTCAGGGTTTGTGAGTTTGAGCCCCTCATTGGGCTCTCTGCTATCAGTGCAGAGCCTCCTTCGGATGCTGTGTCCCCCTCTCTCTCGCTCTGCCCCTTCCATGTGCTCTCTCTTTCTGTCTCTCTCTCAAAAATAAACAAACATTAGAAACAATTTATTATTTCGGCAGTCAAAGTCACTGGCTTTGCAGCAGAAATAGTGATTTCCTGGGGTGGCTGGGTGGCTCAGTCAGTTAAGCATCCAACTTCGGTTCAGGTCATGATCTCACAGTTTGTAAGCTCGAGCCCCATGTCAGGCTCTGTGCTGACAGCTTGGAGCCTGGAGCCTGCCTCGGATTGCCTCCCTCTCTCTCTGCCCCTCCCCCACTCATGCTTTGTCTGTCTCTCTCCCTCAGAAAAAAAAAAGAAAGAAAAGAAATGACAATTTCCTTGAAAACTCCAAGACTGCTGGTATTGAATTGTATCGTTTTTCTGCGGCCCATCATGTAGCACTTTCAAGTTGTAGGATTAACTTGGAAGTTTTATTTCAGCTCTAAGGCCACTAGAATATTATTTCAGAAGATCCCCATTCATGGTGCTAATTCAGGGTCTGAATGAGTCCTCTCTCCTGAGCACACTGGACTAGGTGTAAGCCATGCCTGTCACAGCCATCTGTCTTCCTGCTTAGGGACCACCTGTGAGGAAGGTGCTGCGTCTGCACAAACTCCTCATGAGCGAGGGGGGCACCTATCTTGTTGCTCTTGGGCCTCTGGTATCTTTATTCCACTTCACCAGAGCTCAGTAATGTAGGCAGAGCACTTCACACTGAGAAGTCTGGGAGGAGCCTACGTAAAAGGGAAAATGTGACATGTTAATTGAAAAATACCTTCGATGCTAGGCCTGGGTTTCTATCCACAGGAATCTTGGATTTCACAAAAGAGCTGTGGTACCTCCAGGTAAACATGATTCATGTGTGTAATGCAGCTGGTTTGCCATCTTATTCATCTTGGTTATGAATATACAGTTGATGTGGTTTGGGGAAGCAAACCACAGGTATTTCTTTCATTTTAGACTCTGAGGCCCTATATATTTTTTTCCTTTTCTTTTAAATTAAAAAAAAAATTTTTTTTTATTCTTGAGAGACAGAGTGTGTGTAGGGGGAGGGGCAGAGAGAGGGGGAGACACAGAGTCCAAAGCAGGCTCCAGGCTCCAAGCTGTCAGCACAGAGCCCAACGCAGGGCTCGAACTCCCGAACCTTGAGATCATGACCTGGGCCGAAGTTGGATGCTTAACCAACTTAGCCGCCCAGGCGCTGCTCCCGGGCCCTAGATTTGATTGTAATATCAACTTAGGTGCCAGCCCTAGCCTCAGCATGGAGAGGGCAGGCAGGGGCTGAGGATTTCTGCTAGCTAGCAAGAGCCTGGAGCAGAGCTGATGAGGAAAAGAGCCTCAGATTTGAGGGACAAGATGAAACCCCACATGGGAAAAGGGGTGACAAGATTTGGGTAACTTTTTCACGAAGGAACCAGCGTGGGCACCCACGGGAGTCATCCCCTCACATTCTTGAATTTTTGAGACCACCTGTTTCTCCTCATGTCTCCTCACTACCTTCTACCCTACATGGTAATCCTCCCTCTTTTTTCCATAGCAGTTGGCTTTGTTTCTTATGCCAAAGGGCAATGGATGTCAATAGTTTCTGAAAGCAAGCAGAATGAATTCTTTCTTTTTTTTTTCTAATTTTATGCATGTTCCTTCTCCATTAATACTATGTTTTAAATGAATTCGTAAAAAAAAAAAAAAAAAAGAAAGAAAGAAAAGAAAAAAACCTCTCCAAGTATTATGAAGATTCTCTTCTTTTTAGCTCATAGCTGTCTTGTTAATTAACTAAATCCCTGCTGTCTTAGAAGCATCCACAACGAGCTTCATCTTTTCTGTGTCACTGAGGTTTATTTTTATCTTTCACATCTTGGGACTGAACCTCATTCACACCTTCTGAATTCTGATATGACACCGAAAGCTGGAAATGGTGATGGGACTCCCCGGTTTCTTGGAGTTGGAATGTGCGAGGCCTCTAATTTGGGAAACTTCAAGTTAGATTTTGTATGCTGTTTGCAACTTCACATTTGCACCACGACGATCAGCAGCTGGCTTGCCGTCTGCTTATGTGTATTCACCGACTCCAGAACGTGGGCGGAGGAGATAAACGCTTGTGCGGACATGGCAGTTCGAGCCGCAGATAGACAAACGTACCTTGGAGGGACTATGTTGTTCTTACTCTGGGAACTGTTGGGAAACACAGACTGTGACCCAGGCAAGTGACAGAGCCTTATCCGAAAACGAGAAGAGGATAATTTGGGGTTAGTCATGGTTCCTGTTGGCAGTGAAAGGACTGAGGAATCGTCTTGTCAGGACTCGCTCCCATCCTGCCTGTTTTCTTCCCCCCTCCTTTCTCCCAGGTAACCCACTTGCCTTGTCTTTGTGCTTTCCAGACAGTCGAGGAGATCGAGGGGGTACTTGGCCGGGACCTGTATCCCAACCTGGCTGAAGAGCGGTCTCGTTGGGAGAAGGAGCTGGCTGGGCTGAGGGAAGAGAATGAAAGTCTGACCGCCATGCTGTGCAGCAAGGAGGAGGAGCTGAACAGGACCAAGGCCACCATGAACGCCATCCGGGAGGAGCGGGACCGGCTCCGGAGGCGGGTGAGCACGCCAAGTCCAACATGGCCAGGCCTTTCCCCCAGGCCGTGGGGCTGAAAGACACGTGAGCGCACGCTGCCAAGGGCAGCCCCAAGAATGTTGTGGGACTTGCAGTCTTGGGAATCTCCATCCCTTTCTGATCATGAAGCCATTCTCAAAAGGGGAGTAGTTTGAAAGTGCTGAGGTGTGCAGGGAAGACTTAACACAGTACTCCTCTCTGGCATCACATCTAAGTGGATGGTAAAATTATATCCACTCAGTGCTTCTGAAACCATCCTCTAGGGTAGGCACATCTTCCCCAAGCTCAATTAAATTAACTTCTTTTAAGATAGACTAAAAATATTTCATAATTTGCAAAAATTTATACATTTCTCCCTTTGCAGTTTCTTCTATAAAATTTTCTTTCAATTTATATACTACTTGCTCTCACACAGATTCTAATGTGAAATATCATCTCTAATGCACGTATTAATGTTATGATAATCATATATGTGTGTGTGCATACATACTTTGTGTTAAGTGTGTGTGTATGTATATGTGTGTTATTCTGGCATTCACCCCAACATACCCCAACATGCCAAATGGATGTATGGTTTGAACCAGTTTTAAGAGCAACTTGCTCAGGAAATACATCCATTACTAAAGGAGCTGATGTTTCAGAAGAGAAATGTTTGGTGAAATTGTTGAAGCACTTGGTTTTTCAAAGATGGAGTTTTTTGTTTTGTTTTGTTTTGTTTTTCAGGAACCCACAAGTATTTCTTTGTTTGGCTGTGAATTTGATCTGTGATTGGTCTGGGGTGAAGCAGTGAATTCTTGAGTCAGAAATCCATTCCCTCTGAACTTCACTTTCATTTACTAGACCTGCTTTACTCTCTTTTTCAATCTTGGCAATATTACAAGCTTGCTTTCTACTGTGCTTTGACTGGCAATTCTGCACACGGATAAAGTTGACTTAGGTAAAGTACATTTAGTAGATCCCCTCATTCTTCACCATGGCTTTTTCTCCTTTTATTTTATATTTTTTAAGTTAATTTATTTTGAGAGAGAGAGAACCAACAGGGGAGGGGCAGAGAGAGGGACAGAGGGTTGGAAGCAGGCTCTGTACTGACAGCAGAGAGCCTGATGAGGGGCGCAAACTCCCACACTGCGAGATCATAACCTGAACCAAAGTCAGATGCTTAACCAACTGAGCCACCTAGGCACCCTTCTCCTTTACTTTTATTTACTTATTATTTTAATGTTTAGTTATTTTTGAGAGAGCGGCAGGGTGGGGGGGGGGGAAGGGCAGAGAGAAATGGAGACACAGAATCTGAGGCAGGCTCCAGGCTCTCAGCTGTCAGCACAAGGCTTGAACTCACAAACCGCAAGATCATGATCTGAGCTATAGTTGGATACTTAACCGACTGAGCCACCCAGGCACCTCTTCACTCCTTTACTTTTTTTTTTTTTTTTTTTAACAAATAGTTTATTGTCAAATTAGTTTCCACATAACACCCAGTGCTCATCCCCACAAGTGCCTTCCTCCATGCCCACCCCCGCCATCCATCAGTCCTCACTTTTTGTCAGCATTCAAGAGTCTCTCATGGTTGGCCTCTCTCCCTTTCCCCCACCATTTCCCCCCTTCTTCTCCCCCCCCTTGTTCCTCAGTTAAGTTCCTCCCAATCCTCCTATACGTGCAAACATGATATTTGTCCTTCTCTGCCTGACTTATATCGCTCAGCATAACACCCTCAAGGTCCATCCATGTTGATACACATGGCCAGATTTCATTCTTTCTCATTGCCATGTAGGATTCCATGGTGTAGATAAACCACATCTTCTTGATGCATTCGTCCGTTGATGGACACTTAGGCTCTTTCCATGTTTTAGCTATTGTGGAGAGTGCTGCTATGAACATTGGGGTACATGTGCTCCTATGCCTCAGCATTTCTGTATCCCTTGGGTAAATTCCTAGCAGTGCTATTGCTGGGTCCTAGGGGAGTTCTATTGTTAGTTTCCTGAGGAACCTCCACACTGTTTTCCAGAGGGGCTGTACCAGTTTACATTCCCACCAACAGTGTAGGAGGGTGCCCGTTTCTCCACATCCTCGCCAGCATCTAGAGTTCTCTGATTTGCTCATTTTAGCCACTCTGACTGGCGTGAGGTGGTATCTCAGTGTGGTTTTGATTTGTATTTCCCTGATGAGGAGGGATGCTGAGCATCGTTTCATGTGTCTGTTGGCCATCTGGATGTCCTCTTTGGAGAAGTGTCTGTTCATGTCTTCTGCCCATTTCTTCACTGGGTTGTTTGTTTTTCGGGCGTGTAGTTTGGTGAGTTCCTTATAGATTCTGGATATTAACCCTTTATCTGATATGTCATTTGCAACTATCTTTTCCCATTCCGTTGGTTGCCTATTAATTTTCTGGGTTGTTTCCTTGGCTGTGCAGAAGCTTTTAATCTTGATGAGGTCCCAACAGTTTATTTTTGCTCTTGATTCCCTTGCTTTTGGGGATGTGTCAAGTAAGAAGTTGCTGCGGTGGAGGTCAAGGAGGTTGTTTCCTGCTTTCTCCTCTAGGGTGTTGATAGTTTCCTGTCTCACGTTCAGGTCCTTTATCCATTTTGAGTTGATTTTTGTGCATGGTGTGAGAAAATGATCTAGTTTCATTCTTCTGCATGTTGCTGTCCAGTTCTCCCAACACCATCTGTTAAAAAGGCTGTCTTTTTTCCATTGGATATTCTTTCCTGCTTTGTCAAAGATCAGTTGGCTGTATACTTTTGGGTCCACTTCTGAGTTCTCAATTCTGTTCCATTGGTCTATGTGTCTGTTTTTGTGCCAATACCATACTGTCTTGAGGATGACAGCTTTGTAGTAGAGGCTGAAGTCTGGGATGGTGATACCTCCCGTTTTGGTTTTATTTTTCAGTATTACTTTGGCTATTCGGGGTCTTTTGTGGTTCCATACAAATTTTTGGATAGTTTGTTCTAGTTTTGAGAAGTATGCTGGTGCAATTTTGATTGGAATTGCATTGAATGTGTAGAGTGCTTTAGGTAGTAATGACATCTTAACTATATTTATTCTTCCTATCCATGAGCATGGAATGTTTTTCCATTTCTTTGTGTCTTCTTCAATTTCCTTCATAAGTTTTCTATAGTTTTCATCATACAGATCTCTTGTATCCTTGGTTAGGTTTATTCCGAGGTATTTTATGGTTTTTTGTGCAATTGTGAATGGGATCAGTTTCTTGATTTCTCTTTCTGTTGCTTCATTATTGGTGTATAAAAATGCAACCGATTTCTGTACGTTGATTTTGTACCCTGCAACTTGGCTGAATTCTTGGATCAGTTCTAGTAGGCTTCTGGTGGAGTCTGTCGGGTTTTCTATGTAGAGTATCATGTCATCTGCGAAGAGTGAAAGTTTGACTTCCTCTTTGCCAATTCTGATGCCTTTGATTTCCTTTTGTTGTCTGATGGCTGATGCTAGGACTTCCAGCACTATGTTAAACAACAGTGGTGAGAGTGGACATCCCTGTCGTGTTCCTGATCTCAGGGGGAAAGCTCTCAGTTTTTCCCCGTTGAGGATGATGTTAGCTGAAGGCTTCTCATAGATGGCTTTGATGATGTTTAAGTAGGTTCCTTCTATCCCAACTTTCTCGAGAGTCTTTATTAAGAAGGGATGCTGTATTTTGTCAAATGCTTTTTCTGCATCTATTGACAGGATCATATGGTTTTTATCTTTTCTTTTATTGATATGATGTATCACATTGATTGATTTGCGAATGTTGAACCAGCCCTGTAACCCAGGAATGAATCCCACTTGATCTTGGTGGATGATTCTTTTGATATGCTGCTGGATTCGATTTGCAAGGATCTTGTTGAGAATTTTTGCATCCGTATTCATCAAGGATATTGGCCTATAGTTCTCTTTTTTTGTTGGATCTCTGTCTGGCTTGGGAATCAGAGTGATGCTGGCTTCATAAAATGAGTCCGGGAGTTTTCCTTCGACTTCTATTTTTTGGAATAGCTTGAGAAGAATTGGGATTAATTCTGTTTTAAATGTCTGGTAGAATTCCCCAGGGAAACCATCAGGTCCAGGGCTCTTATTTGTTGGGAGATTTTTGATCACTGATTCGATTTCTTCACTCGTTATGGGTCTGTTCAGGTTTTCTATTTCTTCCCGTGTGAATTTTGGTAGTGAGTGTGTGTTTAGGAATTTGTCCATTTCTTCTAAGTTGTCCAATTTGTTGGCATATAATTTTTCATAGTATTCCCTGATAATTGCTTGTATTTCTGAGGGGTTGGTTGTAATAAGTCCATTTTCATTCATAATTTTGTCTATTTGGGTGCTCTCTCTTTTCTTTTTGATAAGCCTGGCTAGAGGTTTGTCAATTTTGTTTACTTTTTCAAAAAACCAACTCTTGGTTTCATTGATCTGTTCAATTGTTTCTTTGGTCTCTATGTTGTTTATTTCTGCTCTAATTTTTACTATTTCTCTTCTTCTACTGGGTTTAGGGCGTTCTTGTTGCTCTGCCTCTAGCTCCTTTAGGTGAGCTGTTAGATTTTGGACTTGTGCTTTTTCTAATCTCTTGAAATAGGCCTGGAGAGCAATGTACTTTCCTCTTAGGACTGCCTTGGCCGCATCCCATAGATTTTGAATTGTTGTGTTTTCATTTTCATTTGTTTCCATATATTTTTTAATTTCCTCTCTAATTGCCTGATTGGCCCATTCATTCTTTAGAAGGGTGTTCTTTAACCTCCATGTTTTTGGCGGTTTTCCAGACTTCTTCCTGTAATTGATTTCAAGTTTCAAAGCATTGTGATCTGACAGTGTGCATGGTATGATCTCTATTCTTTTATATTTATTGAGGGCTGCTTTATGTCCCAGTATGTGATCTATCTTGGAGAATGTGCCATGCGCACTTGAGAAGAAAGTAAATTCCCTGGCCTCAGGATGTAAAGTTCTAAATATATCCGTCAGATCCATCTGGTCCAATGTGTCTTTCAAGTCCATTATTTCTTTAGTGATT